GTAAAGTAAACATTAAAGTGTAATCTATTAGAGTTTTAAGTATATTTAGTGGGTTTTATGAAATTAAAATATGAGTATTGGAATTTAAAGTGAATATAAAGTTCAAATTTTACATTGGTATTTCATAAACATTTGAACTATTAAAACATGAATATAAATTTGAAATTGACACTAACTACTAAAACCAACTTACACTTTAGAAATTAAATTTTGCCACCGAGAATAACATAAATCTTTCAATCTATCATTAATGTCAATTTATCACAAATTAAAAAACCCATTCGCATATATGTACCAATAATCATTGGTTTACTCTTAAATCAGCCCAATAATCTTTCAATCTATCATTAATGTCAATTTATCACAAATTAAAAAACCCATTCGTTATTTATACCAATAATCGTTGGTTTACTCTTAAACCAGCCCAATTCCATAGATAGACCCAATTAGCATTTTACTCTTGTCTACTTTTCTGCTGCGGCTAAAATTTCATTTTTTAACATGGCTAGAATTTCATTTATCTGCATAAAAAGGTTGACATCTGTTAATAACCCGAGTGTGCTATAATCAAGTGCATAGAATTATGTTTGTAAGTCTTTGGTTTTGTGTATACATTCAGTTGTCAAATTTGTATTCGGTTTTGTGTATAGTAGTAGTATATATGTTTAATCATTAACCAAACCAAACAATCGTTTGGGAAAATACAAAATATTGTAGTATACATACAACTTTAATTAAGTCAACAAAAAATCATATTGTCTAACAAAATACCCGACATTAACTATATTTCTAAAACATTTGCGTGAGATGCATGTGGAATATTGGTAATATATTCAATTGAAAAAGTATCCATTATATACCTAAGAGTTTAGGAATATTGATTTTGTAGTTTAAATCAATGACATAATATTTTTATTAAAATTAAAATGGAGAGATAATCAAGGATATTTTGTTAGAAAAAGATTTGGTGGAAAAATAATAGATAAAAACTATAGGTTTAAATAATGCAGTGGCAAAGATCTGTAAATACTTCCAAAAATCAAGGGGACTTCAAAAAAGGGCCTTGTGTTTTAATAGTATAGATTATAGATTACTTGATGTAGATTGTGATGGATCCATGGCTATGTCTAATTCATCTTGGAATCAGACCACATTTTAAGTATTGTGGGCTTCTAGGCCTAAATATATTAAAATTAATTGAAACCGTAAGTTCTCAAAAATTCAAAATTAATGTTACACCTTACAAGTACAACACTACTGTCTCATAATGAATACATCAAGAATCTTGCTAAGAACTTGATACCTCACCATAATATTATTGATTACTTATTCCACATTTTGTCATCTTCTATTATTTAAACCAAATCTATTTAAAACCCCAATTAATCAATGTTTTAGACCCGATCTAGAAACTAAACCGGATTATTTTTTGGGTCACCAGATCATTGGATCGACCGCACTTGAACCACAGATCAATAGATTAAATTTTTTTAATATATATTATTTTTTATTTCAGTTTGTATCTACCATAAAATAAATGATTTGATCAAGTTTTAATAACATAAGAATTTGAATAAAAATAAGATAATAAATTATTAAAAAATATTATAAAATTAACTTTTAAATCATAAATACAAACTTCTAATAGATTTTTCAATAACAAAAATAAAATAATAGTCTAGCAATTTTATATAAATCAATTTTGTTTTTTTATTATTATCATTTTCTTCAAATAATATTGTAAAGTTTTCATCAAAGTATATAGAATCACAAATATATAGTTTATAATTTCGGTAATATTAAAAGTGTATAAAAAATTTAATCAAATTAGGAAATTTGAATTTGAAACTAAATTACTGTACGTGTGAACTGAAAACAAATTCAGTGGCACCTAAAAGATTATAAACAATAACCCATAAAACATCAACATCATATGTTTTCTATGATTTAGATTTTTAAAACATTGAGACTTTACAAAACATTGTTTCTGTATTCTCCTATATTATATTTATATTATTTTTTAATCGAAATCTATATTTAAATTATATTTATTATTTGCCAAATTTTTAGTGCCATTTAATGTTTTAATCCTAGCTTTCCAGGCTTCCATATTTTAAAAAGATATTTTAGTAATTTTCCTTTTGTCGTCTATATAATATTTACTATTTTGGTTTTAAATATATATATTTTTACAACATTTTTGATTGAGAAATTCTCTATGATAGATCTAAAAAAGTTTTTGTCACAAATATAGATATTAAAAATAAAAAATGACCAAAATAGATTTAAATATTTTATAAAAAATAAGTAAACATACACTTATATTCTTTAGATTAAACTAATTCTAGAGTTTTTTCTTTAGAGTTGGAGAGTGGAGTTTTAGGGATAAGCTTTCAATCTAAAAAAAAACTTAAAATTTTCAAAATAAAAAAGCTATTTTGTTCATTCTAGTTTTTGAGATCTATTTTTGTGATAAAAACTTTAAAAAATCCATTCGAGAAAATTGTCCTTTTTGATTTTATGGATAAATTCATTTATGATTTTGATGTTTGTCATGTACAAATACACGTTAATTTATCTTAGGTTAGGAATATGATTGCTCAACATTAAATATATATTATACTACATATTTTTAGAGCAAAACTCTCAAATAGATCTTTTTAAGTTTTTATCACAAAATAGATTTCAAAAACTAAAATGACTAAAATAGCATTTTTTATTTTGAATTTTTTTATTTTTTTATTTTTAATTTGAAATCTTATCTCTAAAACTTTGTCCTCAATTCTAAACAAAATTTAGGATTAGTTAACCCAAAGGATATAAATGTATATTTACTTATTTTTTATAAAATCTTTAAGTCTATATTGGTCACTTTTATTTTTAAAGTCTATATTTATAACAAAAAAAAAAGGTTCATACTAGGGAATTTCTCTATTTTCTATGATGCTTTACTTTTAATCTTAACTTTAATATTGTAATCCTCCTATACATTAAAAGAGAAGTCACTTGGACACGTGTCACTCATACAGGCCTTCTCAGAGAAATTCTGACAATCTGATTGGTTGATTTTTTTCAATTTTCTTTGGTATTTTTTTTTATTTTCGCCTTGCAAATGGTTTGACAATCGTATCTCAAATATTTGGTTACCTTAATTACTTGCCTTATATAATATTCGGGAACATTAATTAGAGAGCTAACATTAATTTTGGGAATCTTATATAATATTCGATAAATCGTATCTCAAATATTTGGTTACGTTAATTAGAGAGCTAACTTTATATTCGATAACTTGCGAAACAAGCTGGAAATTAAATGTCAAAGATGTCAATCTCATCTCATTAGGAAAGTAATTCAGTATATATTAACGATGTCATAATGTCTGTAAACCTAACGTAAGTCTCTAAAACATCTATTCAATGGTTAAAGCTACGAAAAATGAGTGTCATCTATCAAGGATTTGAGACCGTGTAAAGATACATGGCATATTGAGGTTAGGATTCTGCGTTTATGGAGAAACTACAACAGAGAGTTACAGAGTCTCGACGTAGTTATAGATTTCCCAGTCGACGGAACTTTTGATCCTTTTGTTAAGGGTTTTATTGCAATTTACACAAATATATAATATTAATAAAAGATGTTGTTCGGTTACTACCGGAGAGAAGCGTGAGGTATGTCGGCGAAGGAGATCGCTGTCGGGAGCAGTTCAATCAACGGTGGAGATCCTTGTCCGATTTACCTTGGACCCATACTCCAAGAATCATATCTTGATACTTGTTTCCGTATAAATCAAAACTTCTCTTTTAATCATCACTCCATTAAAGATCTGAATCAGTTTCTTCTGTGGNTTACTACCGGAGAGAAGCGTGAGGTATGTCGGCGAAGGAGATCGCTGTCGGGAGCAGTTCAATCAACGGTGGAGATCCTTGTCCGATTTACCTTGGACCCATACTCCAAGAATCATATCTTGATACTTGTTTCCGTATAAATCAAAACTTCTCTTTTAATCATCACTCCATTAAAGATCTGAATCAGTTTCTTCTGTGGGTTTGTTCTTTCCGCAAATGTAGTGAATAAAGTTTTAATCTTTCGTCTCAAAAAGCTACTTTTGTGTGTGGGTTTTGTTGGTTTGTTGCGTCTCGATTCGTCTCGTGAAGCAAATGTAAGTTCGTACACATTATTGCCTTTTTGGATTTTACTCTGTTCAAGCTACAGTTTATAAGGATAAAGGTAGGCACTTTATTTTCTTCTATTTCGTCTGGGTTTTAATTGATGTTTATACTTTGCTTGAATGGTTTGTGAAAGTGGGTTATTCTTACTTAGTCTTGATATTTTGATTTGCTAATTTTAATTTTTTTACAGAAAATGTAGGCTTAATAAGAGGCTAAAGATTCTTTCTTCTTTTTCTTCCTCTTCTTTGTTTGTCTCATTTATTGAATAGCAATAGTTGTTATAGTGTACTTACTGTTTTTCGGTTTCTAGCTTTTTCTTCTCTTATTATATAAATGGCATATGGGGGAGCTGAACTTTCTTTACTTTGATTATTGTGTTTAGGCAAATTTCTCTGGTAGGTTCTTTGTCTTCAAGCTGTAGTTTAGATTTGATGTTCTTTTCTTTGGGTTAGTTGTACTGCTCTTTATGTGTTTGGTTCTCTGATAACTGAAACAGTGAGAAAGGTGAATATCTTCCCTTGTTTTTTTGTTTGGTGATTTTAACTACAATTTTTTTCACTGGATTTTCAGTTTTGATGTTCTTGAGATGATTCTTGTCTCAGTTATTTGATTATATGTTTTTCTTGTGAAAGCTTGGTCCTTCTAGACTATCTCTTTGAGAAGATTGTATGAGATTAGATGATTAATGTCATTCTTTTTGATGATTTGAGTGAAGTGATAGTTTCCATTGATAGTGTTATTGGCCACACGATGCTAATGCATTCATTTGGTTTTGGTTCTGCAGTTGAATCTATAGCAAAATAAGTCGGAGCTTCATTTTTGCGAATCAATATGGATACCTGGTTGATAAGCTTTGTCCCCTCGGCGCTTCTCGTTACTGTGACAGCAGATGTTTACATTGTGACTATGGAAGGAGATCCAATCATAAGTTACCAAGGTGGAGAAAATGGTTATGAAGCAACTGCTGTCGAATCTGATGAGAAGATTGATACATCAAGGTACTTAAATAGATGTTTATCTTCTTTCATTTGCAGTAGTACTAGCATAATTAAATAACTGTTTAGGCATTGATTGCTCTATTACTTTTACAGTGAATTGGTGACATCTTATGCTCGTCACTTAGAGAGGAAACACGATATGATCCTTGGAATGCTCTTTGAGGAAGGGTCATACAAAAAGCTTTACAGCTATAAACACCTTATAAATGGATTTGCAGTTCATGTTTCTCCTGAGCAGGTAAAAGAAATGAGATCATTTCTACCAATTTCTCTGTTGGTGTTCTCTTACACTATTCCACTATGTTTGGTAGGCAGAAACACTACGTCGCACGCCCGGTGTCAAATCTATAAACAAAGACTGGAAAGTGAGGAGACTCACCACACATACACCAGAGTTTCTGGGACTTCCAACGGATGTGTGGCCAACAGGTGGTGGTTTTGAAAGAGCAGGAGAAGATATTGTTATCGGTTTTGTTGACTCTGGGATTTATCCGCATCACCCGAGTTTTGCCTCTCACCATAGATTACCTTATGGCCCTCTTCATCATTACAAAGGAAAATGTGAAGAAGATCCTCATACCAAGAAGAGCTTCTGCAACAGGAAGATTGTTGGAGCCCAACATTTCGCTGAAGCTGCTAAAGCGGCTGGTGCATTTAGCATTTAACCCAAATATAGATTATGCATCGCCAATGGATGGTGATGGGCATGGAAGGTTCGTCTCTATGTTCTTATAGTCTCTAATATCGTACACATAAGCCTTTCACTGTACTAAGCAAATCTGATTCTTTTTTTCTTATTCTTATTGTATTGCTGGGTTTTCAGTCACACAGCAGCTATTGCAGCCGGGAATAATGGTATTCCATTGAGAATGCACGGTTATGAATTCGGAAGAGCAAGTGGGATGGCTCCACGTGCAAGGTAGATAGATAGTTGGCAAATAGCAGTTTTAATGAACGTTTGTTTTCCTTCTTCTTCATAATGAAAGTTTGTTCTCTTTCAGGATTGCTGTTTACAAGGCTCTTTACCGGCTTTTTGGAGGCTTTGTGGCTGATGTTGTTGCTGCAATTGATCAGGTAAGAGTAATAACTTAGCACAAGTTAAAAATGATTAATTACATGGAACGTATCTCAGCTTAGTAAAATGATTCTCCTACTGTATATGCTTTATTTATTCAGCAGCACAAGTCAAGTAACTTTGTAGATGCTAATTTTCATAAGCGATAACTTAGTTGATATTAACTAGAGGTCTTCATGAGCAGGCTGTTCATGATGGAGTTGATATCCTGAGTCAGGTTTGTAGCTTCATTCCTCTAACAATGTAACTGGTTAAGCTTTTTATTTATGATTTTAAACAAACGTGCGTGTGAACTGGTTACAAGAATTGGATCTGTTGCCTGGTTTAGTTTGGAATATGGCTTATATAACACACTTATCAGTAGAGTAAAATGTGTTCTGTCTGGTCCATAAAGAATGCTAAAGTTTTCCGTTTCTTCTTTTTGATACTATTAACCAGGTTTATTGGCGGATGTGTTTGACGTTTCTCGGTTTTGGAAACTGAAGAACTTACTCCAGCCAAATAAATGGCTTGAATCCTGGTTAAGAAGGGAGCTTCAAGCTCTGATGCAGGTGCGCGCTTGCATTTCCTTTCATGCATCCTTCTTTCTTTTTGCTGTTATCTAATTGATCAGTTGCTTACAACAATCATTTGCTTTTGCTTGCATTTTATTATAGGAGGAAGATGTTGATATTGTTCTGCATCATCTAGCCGGTGTATTGGATTTTTTCTGCAAAAGGTAAAACTCTTGGATCAAGTTTCTTTTTGTATTGGCTTGAGGCTTAATTGATCAAAGTAGAAGTGTTATCTGGTCGGGACCAACATTATGAATGCTTTAAGATGTAAATTAAATCACCATTAATCTTCTTTCTTTCAGAACCGAACAGAGACACAAGCAAGAAACAAGAAGCACAGAGACCTTCCAAGAACAATTCAAATCAGTCATGGCAGAGGCGTCTCGTCCCTTAATTTGTTACTTTCTCTATGTTTTCCAAATAATTATTTGCTTATACACTAAAGAAAAAAATCTTTAATCTATTATATTAAAAGAGAAGTCACAACTTCTCTTCATGTGTGATATTTTTAAAAATGGACCATTCCTAGAAAGTAATATTTCATATATATCTTAATAACATTTTATTTGACTTAGTTACAATATCTTTTGATATCTTTCTTTTATTTAAAATAAAATAAATATTTTAAAAAGAATTCTAACAAAATCTTTTAGAATCTTTTTTTTTTAGAATCTTTTATAAACATTAAACATATGAATAATAATATATACCAATAATGATGTAAATATATATATATATATATATACATATTTATAAACGAAATTAAACACCCGCTCGGTTGAGCGGGTCAAAATCTAGTTAATATTTTATTATAAAAGTTAGTATAACTTTTTATACATTTTATTAACTTTGTATTTTATAAAATTTATCATATTATAAAATGTATATCCTATAAATTCATATATGCAAACTATATATTTCTTTTTTGTCATCTTTTTTTGTCATCATAAACTATATAGTTTTATGTCAATTATAATATAACTTTATACAATTTATCACATAATAAATTATGTATGTAATTCAGAGTTAGAATATGATATGTGTAACATTTTTGTATATATTTCTAATAATAATGTTAGAATTAAATCGGTTAAATACAAATTTCTATATTAAATATAAGTGATAAGACATAATTATTATATATTTCTATAGATTTATAATATATCAAAATCAAAACTATTTATTATTCTTTAATTTTATAATCATATTCTGGTATTAGGAAAGATATACCTTGTTGGTAAAGGCTTTTAATTTGTTAATTTGTTTATTAATAACTTGCCTTATTTTATGATTACCTTATTTTGACATCAGTTACTTGTCTTAAATGGTATGTTAATTATTGCAAATTTTTAATATTTTTACAACAAATATTTCAGGAACCATAAGACTTAATGATAAAATATGATTATTAATTTATAATTATTCTTTAAATTTGATATATTCTGAATTTTTTATTATATATACTTCTAAACGAAATAATCTTTTTAGGAAGTATTTTTTTTAAATATACATTTAATTGACAAATTTAAAAGTTAAATTTTTGTGAAAATATATGTCTATTAAGTAAATATCTTGTTCTTTTATGATGTCATTTATTAGTAACTATATACATGTGATATTGCATTAAATGTCAATGTTCTTTATTTCCTAATTAGTTAATTCGGAAATATGATGATTACCTTAATCAATTACTTGCACAAATTTATATGATAATGGTGATTTGAGTTAGAAAAGCCTAAAACTATTATCCATTTAGAAAACCACAAATATAACGGTAATTTGAGATTTAGAAAAGCCAAAACTATTATCTTAATTATATTTATATATCTATATGGATCTTAAAAATATGGATCTTAAAAATGTAATTTACTATATATATACATTTGTTTGTTTTTTCTATTAACAGATAAATCACACAGATGAAAGATCGTTTGTAGTTGATTACAAACCATTTTTCAGTTTGTTTCAATAGCGATATGCAAATTCAATATTATTTTCGTCTCGATAAAATTTAGAAAGCTATTAAATTATTTTATATTATATAATTGCTAAAATAATTGACAATTTTTTGTAGGTTTCTATGAGATTTTTTAAATTCATAATTGTTCTTCTTATTTCATATTTCTTATGAATTATATTTAAACTTTTATCACATTTTCTATGGGATTGTGATATCTATGAGATTCTTATCCCATTTTTTAATATGTCACTGTCTCCTGTATATTTTTCTTACATTTTTTTTAATAGTTAACTTTTATTAAAAACATACTAATGATGTTATTTTTTTTTTACTTTAGTTAACTTTCATTTGTTTTATTCTTATATACTTTTGTGACTTTTTTAGTTTTTGTTTCAGTTTAATATTGAATTTAGTTCACATACTTTATGTGTATATATTTTAAAACATAATTTTTCTTTTAAAAAATTAAGCGACAAAGAGCCTAATTAAACCGATCCAAAAATAAACCGAACTAAATATANTCATTTGTTTTATTCTTATATACTTTTGTGACTTTTTTAGTTTTTGTTTCAGTTTAATATTGAATTTAGTTCACATACTTTATGTGTATATATTTTAAAACATAATTTTTCTTTTAAAAAATTAAGCGACAAAGAGCCTAATTAAACCGATCCAAAAATAAACCGAACTAAATATAAATTGAACTGGACATAAACCACCCCGAACCAGACTAAATAAGGTTTATTTCAGTTGAAAAAATATATTAAAACCGAACTAAACATACCAAACCGGAAAAATAATGATTTGCCCACCCTTACTGCATCCTAGAGATTTCCGAAAATCTTGTCTCAGCATTGAAACTCTCACTTGTTCCACTAACTCCCACATTTGAACTCAATAGATACTCCTATCTTAGCATTATACTATATTTTTATACCCGCACAGGGTGCGGGTAGGTCACCTAGTAATATGAATATATGGAGATACTGTTAATATCCATTGATTAATTAAATGTCCTAAATAATATGATAGGCTTCTATCAAACGATAATTAAAGTTGTCTCCTAACATTTTGTCATACACAGTCAAAGTATTATTACATAGATGAAACATCAGATCTTTTGGACACACGTGAACAGATGAAACTAGAAGAATTCTATTTATAGAAAAGGAAACATCTAAAATGATGATTCTTTCAAGTCTCAGATTGTCTCAACAAACACGAGTTCACATGTGCTTGAAGCTCGAGAAGAAAGTGTCAACTCCTCCTTGAGCCGCATAGGGTGTGGAACCAGTTGAACTGTATCAAACCTGAAAGTTGCTGTCCTTAAGTGGGGAGCGTTTTTAAAGATGTAACCCACAATGTCTCTATCTTGAGGTCTCCCAATGTATTGTGACCAGTTGAAAATTTGTAGACTAGACAATATGCAACTCGGTTGGTTCCAGGTAACCGTATCATCAGTCTTTAAATCTCCATGACACTAAGACCAAGCAGAAGAGAACAATTAGATTAAGAATGATGATGATGATACTGGTGGGTTCATCTAATATCGAAGAAACTTACATCTAGTACAAAGAGGTGTAACACTCGTAAGTTAGGTGAATCTTTGAGGAACTTGGCGAGAAGATTTAAAGAATCATCTTTGCACATACATAGCTCCAGATGTTCAAGTTGTTTGAAAACAAGACCATCACCATACACATCCTGCTCAGTGCTCCCAAGTTGTTAATGAGAAGGGGCTCTATAAACAAGACTAAAGACTTGCAACTGATAAATGGAAAATCAATAAATTACCTGTGGACATACGGTAAGATGCTTGACAGATGTGATTGATCCATTGACATTCTTGAGAGCAAAAGATACAACATCCACATACGCTTCTATAAGATTAGGCATATTCTTAAACAAACAAGGACTCTCAGTCCAATCCTCAAGTTTGAGATATTCCAAAAGAGGAGTATCTATCTCATACCAATCTAATAAGTCCCAATAATCAGGTAAAGAGAGTGTTAACTTCCGCAGAGACGGGAAGCTAAGAGTGAAGTTCTGCGAGTTGTCATCCTCAAGAAAACGCACCTCTAAGTCTTCAAGAACAGGGCACATAGGGAGAAGATTCTGAAAGGAATCTCCATCTAGGTATGTTACACTTTCAAGTTGCAAAGTTTTGAGAGAGGGAAGACAACAACCCATGGAAGGAACATCCTTGAGAAACAAGTATCTGAGTTTCAAGACCACAAGCGATTCGCAAGTAAACAAGCTACTCGGAAACATGTTTTCATCACTAGCTGGCCTATAAGTAACTTCCAGGTCACGAACATAGCGAGAAACCGCAATTTCAACCCAGAGTTTGATATCTTCAGGGCTAACTTTTGGATCACGTAACTCCCACAGCTCAAGACATAACCTTTCTATGATGGGAGCCCTATGTAGTGGCAGATTCTTGTTGATAAAACTTCGCAGTACAAGGAGTGATTTACCGTGATCATCACTGTACTCAAGATTAGGCAGCCACATCCAAAGAAACTTCCATCGTTTGGATAAAATGCTGGTGGAGACAGCAACCTTTGTCGGAACAAATGATAATATCTTTACCAATAGCTCATCAGGTAACTCGCTGATCTTGTCCATTTATCTTACAAAAATTCAAGTACACTGTTACTTTTGATTTTGTCTTCCCCTTCAAAAAGAAAACAAGACAAGTAAGACTCAAGAAGATCATAAGCAAAATCTCTAGGGAAATGATCAAAATTTTAGATACAAAAATAGCTTCCACCTAACGAGACTAAAGAGGACCTATCACCTCTTTATAACCACCGACCGAGACAAAGATGCTCTCTGAACAGACTTTAGCTTGAAAGAAGGGTTTTTGCTTCGGCGACTCAGAGAGGAAACGCAATCTAAATCGGAGAAGGGTTCTCAGAGAGAGAGACAAAGGAAGCAAGGAGACAGAAAAGTCTTTCCTTGATCAAAAAGAGAAAGGTCTTTCCTTTTTTCCAGTTCTAGAGAAACGACACCGTTTAGAAAGTTAAATGAAACGACGCCGTTTAGAAAAAACAAAAGAAACGGTGCCGTTTTGGGGATCGTAAAGTTCTCTCCTTTAGGTCAATCGCTCAATACTGTGGAGTTGGATATTCAGACAAAATCTCAAAGCTTTCCACGACGAAGCTGTCAAAAATTTGGACATCATGACGGGTAAGTTCGATCAAATTGGATTCGTATTGATCTTAATTTCTTGTAAATCAGATTTGAGAATTTTGTTTGTGTCTCTTTTTTTGTTTGTAGAGTATAAGGATGAACAGGAGATGGAGATTGAAGCTCTTGAATCTATACTTGCTGATGACTTCAAAGGTTATCTCTTTTTCTAAGATTCCTTTGTCTCTGTTCATCATCATCGTTGAAGATATTGAATTCTTTATTATTGTGACAGAGATTCATTCTAGTGAAAGTGGGCTTAACACTTCTAACCGATGCTTCCAGATTACAGTGACTCCTCAGGTATTATTACATCTCATTACTTGATGATCCAGAGGCCCTTGTTTAGCCATTGCTGTATGTGGAAAAGCTTGTGTGTTAATAAGTGTCGGCAAATGTTTCTGTGTTCAACTTAAGTATCCTCTGTTTTTGGTTATTTGCCGTTCTCTCCTGATACTCTGCTTCTTTATTTTTTTTTCTCAATAGGATGATGATTTAGAGGAGTCATCAATCCCACCAGGTTACTACTACTCTTTATTCTTTAAGAAGAAGCTCTCTTTGTTATAATGATCATATGCCTCTGATATAATTTATCAGTCTTAGAGCTCTCAGTTTGTCTTTGCAGTTCAGCTTGGTTTGGTTTTCTCGCACACGGAGAACTACCCCGACGAGGTTCCGCTTCTGGATGTTAAAAGGTAATTCACCATTTTTACAAATATAGATAGATGATGATGACACTCATGTTGGTAGAGCCTTCTTCCAGTATTCGAGGAATCCATGTTGGTGACCTCACCATCTTAAAAGAGAAGCTTGAACAAGAGGTAAAATCTCTCTTACACTGTACTAATGTTCTTTGCCTGAAGAGGGAAAATGGAAATGTCTCTGGGTCAATAGCTTCCTGGGCCACAAACCCTCTATGGTATTCAGTTTTTGATACTTGGGTTACAAATGTAACTAAGTTCATAATACCGTTTTCACAGGCAAGTGAAAATCTTGGTATGGCCATGATCTATACATTGGTGTCATCAGCAAAGGACTGGTTGTCTGAAAACTATGGCCAAGATGATGGTGCTGACTATGCAGAGGAAGAAGCCGCCAAAGAGGATGAGGTATTGTTGTCTGCTCAGGTATTCCTTCTCTTTTGTTCTCTTCTTGTCTAAATTTCTTGATACAGGTAATTGTTCCTCATGGAGAACCTGTTACGCTGGAGACATTTGTGGCATGGAGAGAGAGATACGAGGCAGAGCTTGCACTTGAGCGCGCCAAGTGAGTAACTTTTCCTGCATACTTATACACCAACCAATTGTTATTGGTTTCTCGGAGTAATTAACATTTAATCTTCTGCTTCCAAGGCTGATGCCTGAGTCTGCTCTTGCTGCAACTTCCAAGGAGAAGAAGCTTACAGGGAGACAGTGGTTCGAGAGTGGCAAAGCGGTATAATACTCATCTTCGCTAACTAATTAGCGCAATGAGATTCTTATTGCAATTTCTTTTTCTACCATTATTGCTAACCACATACATGTCTTGTGCCAATTTTCAGAGAGGAGTTGTGGTCACTGCTGATCAAGAATCTGAGGAGGAAGATGATGAAGACATTGACTTTGAAGACGAAGACTTTGAAGGTAAATTTGGTCTTTCTGTCTGGTTTACACGCTGTTATCCCATAAACATGTAATGGTTCTCAGTGATCATATTCGTCTACACGATACAGATGATGAAGAAGACATGCTTGAGCACTATTTGGCTGAGAAATCTGATGCTTCTGCTCCCATATCAAGGGCCTGAAGTTAGGGAGCCCTATAGAGTGATTGTTAAAGCTCTATTCTGGATAGAGATCAGGATGCAAGGGTCTGGCCTTACATTGAGCAGCTTTCAATCTCTATATCCACAGTTTTCCCAGCTTTTATCTGCTCAAAGAGTGTACCTGGAGAGTTGCATTTGTGTTTGTCTTATATAATCACCTTGACGGTTCGTTTATAAGAACAAATTATAAGAGAATGTCACTGGTTTTGTAACTTATTTTGTTTAGGATCAGCGCAAATCAGACCTCTCAGTCAAATCTCAAAAGACAAATAGTTAAATCTTGTTTACAAACCCTTGTTGAAGTAGGTCATAAGTATTTTTTTCCATTCATTACCTATAAAGTCAACGAATACCATATAAAGCAATGGAAAGCTATGTTTATATAGTTGATCAATATTAATGCTATCAAAGTATATAGTTTCTAAATAATGACAGGTTGTATCTAATATGTTACAGAGAAATCAATAAACCTTCTTCACTAGATTTTCAAGACAGAAATCCTGCTGGGTCTCTTAGATGCAGGATCACTTTTATAGCTAAACACAACCTTGGTCTGTCATAGCTTGAGCTATGTTCAAGAAAGCTGCAATTGTAGCTCCGTGGAGAAGAGCCCTGCACAAGAAAACTTTCGTAGTAAACACTTTTTAACCTTTTGAATTCACAATACTACAGACCATCTTAGAGAAACTTACTCAGGACTCTCTTTCTGATAACCGAAATCATTCGCTGCTTTAAGAGCTTTCTCATAAGTCTGCTTCAGTGCTTCCTGTCATCAAATACCAGAGCAATTATCTTACTAGGCAATTGCCACAGACTAAAACTTCCTAAAGAAATGTGAGAGAGAGATGTTGCTACCTGTAATCTAGACTCAAAATCTTCTGCTGACCATTGCATTGAATTAGATTCACGGAGTACTTCAATTTCTCCGGCAGCAACCTTCAACAGAGTTAAACAATTTAGTTATCATCAATCAGATAATCTAAGAACTTTATGTGCTTTAGGTTCACAATTCACATATCCAAAACAAAATTTGATTTGATGTAAGATGAGTTAAAGAGGGAACTCACTCCTCCAGCTCCAGCAGCAATGGAAGGAGCAATCAGAACATTCGCCTTTCTGAAAACATCAACTGCTTCAGCTGTACACGGCATGTTTGAACCTGCAGTAAACACATTCACACTACTTAGAAGGAAATGAGAAGCTCTTAAAACTATTTGCTCAAATAAGATAAGAAATCTCTTACCTTCTACCAGTAAGCGACAGCCTGCATTGACCAGATTAATTGCATCTGCCTGATCAACTTCATTCTGAGAAGCACATGGGAACGCCACGTCACACCGTTCATTCCACGGCTTTACTTCATCAAAGTATTTGGCCCTTGCATAGGTCTTTGAATAGTCTCTGCAACATAAGATGAGTGTACAGTTGGGTTCTCTATATATTTTAGCCAAGTGACAAATACCACATAATTTTGTGGAAAAGTATGTACCTCAGACTTCTCTGTTGGGATTTTATCTCTCTCAAGAAAGCAAGTTTCATATAATCAAATCCGTCGTCGTCCACCAAGTACCCTTTTGAATCTACAAAAAATGTTTGCATCAGTTAGAACCTGAGACATAGAACCGGGATACTACTAGCTCAATTAAAATGCACCGTGGAGAAGCATGAGATGATTATTAACTGACAAAATCAAAACGGCATAAAAAGCTACACATGTTGGTTGCTTTTAATATAAAACGATTAAGTGAGTGAATCACCTGAAACTGTAACAGGATGAGCCCCACAAGCAATTAGCTTCTCAACAACATGCATCGCTATTTTTCCGCAACCACTCACAACACATCTGAAATAAATGTCTTGCTGATTAGGTAAACTCTAAGATCCAGAGGAAAATAACCATTGGTAGCTAGCAGAATACCATGTAAGAACACATATTCAAAATGATCAAAAAAGAAACCTTAATCCCTTTATTTCTTTATTCATATCTGCAAGCATAAGTCGTGCAAAGTAAACCTGCAAGAACGAAACTGAATGTGAGTTCATTTGCAGTCACAACATGTGAATAGTACGCACACACAGCAACTCTAGAGTGTGTGCACTAAAAAAGAGATCCTTACCACGCCATAGCCACTAGCTTCAGTTCTGAGGCTAGAAGCAGCCCAATATATACGTGGTCCTGTAAAACTTCCCTGCATAAGTAATTAACACAAAGGTATAACAGCCAAAACACTTTATAATCTCTCAACAACAAAAAACGATGCACACAAATAATTACTAGGATAGTACAGCTGATGACATTGAACACTGAATATTACCAAAAAATGAGAGAACGTCTAAAGGTAAGAGTAAAGAAATGACTTGTCACGAAGATGAACCAAAACGGAAAATTTGTACTGTCATTTTGTTTCCAAAAAAACAGTATCAGAAAAAAGCCTTAGCGTCCAAGAGTTTCCAGTACCTGAAACTGACCAGCAAGTCGTCTGTATTGTCCAAAAAGATATCCCATTTCTCGAGTACCAACACCAACCTCCTCTGACGGAAGGTCCTAGCATACGTAATAGGTTAGAAAACCATTGCAGAACGAATATACTTGCTAAAGGGAAATTACCATTCTACTTACTTTGTCTGGACCCATATATCTGTACATCTCATTCATGAAACTTTGACAAAATCTCATAATCTGTGACCTTAGCAAACATTATATCAGAACATCTGTAGAAGAGCACTTGTGGGGAAGCGAAAAAAAAAGAAGCAAGGTGTCACCTCATTGTCACTTCTTCCTTTAGGATCAAAGTCGCTTCCACCAGAAGCCCCTCCAAGTTTATATGCTGACAGAGCATTTTTCAACGTCTAAGAAGAATTAAAAATCATTACAACGAACAATTCAAAATCATGCAAACAGACAGCCACTAAAAAGAAATGGAAAATGGCAAACAGAAAACATTGTACCTGCTGAAAGCCAAGAAATTTGGCGATGCTTAAGTTCATGGATGGATGAAACCGGATACCTCCTCTACATGGGCCCAGTGCTTGATTGAACTGAACTCTAAAGCCTCGGTTTACATGTGTTTCACCTCGGTCATCAATCCATGGAACCCGGAACACTATCATACGTTCAGGTTCTAATAGTCGCTCCATAATGTTGACATAACTGATATGATTCAGAATGCAACCTTATGAGTTGGACGTAATCTGCTGAAATCTATTTCACAAAGATGATAAGCATATCGTTACTTACTGAGAATTTTTCGCAATTACCCGCTCTAGAGCATGCACAGATTCTTGTACAGACTGAATAAATTCAATCTCATTAGGGTCTCGTTTCAGGGCATTTTCAACAATTGAACCAGCACTCTTCGACATAAGAGCTTCAATGAGAGACAAGTACTAACCGTTAATAACACAATAAGCAAGGCCAAAAACAGAAAACTAAGTGTACAACCTATTTCTTTCATATTAGAAAACAAATAAATGCAAAGCATATGTAAACACGGTGTTAGCTGAAAGGCTGTTCAGTGCATATTGGTTAGATGGAACACTAGGAGTTTCCAATGATCATAGCACTTGAAGCAATATTTGTAAATAAACTTACTCTTCACATAAATGGGCTTGTCAACAACAATCTTATCTTTGGAAGCCGTTTGAAGACGGAGAGCCTCTTTGTGTAGCAAACTATTGTTGTGTTCTTCTAACGCACTCATCTGCATGTTTCTACTCCCTTCATTCCCATACGGATTTCTCCTATGTTTTCTACCATATTCTCTACAAACAGAACAGAATATCCTCGCCGTTCCTTCCTTCATATCCACATAAGCCCACTTGTAGGTGTCAGCCCACTCCTCTCTCCACCGTTTAACAACTTTCTTCTTTCTCTTCGCCGATGGCTGCCCCTTAGACATATCTTGATCCTCGCTTGGAAGATCGGATACCAAAACCATATGCTTTGTCTCATCATGTTCCCCGGTGGAGGGATCCCTTGGAGGCTCGCCGATCAATGAATTGGTAGCAAAAGCAGCTTCATCATCTCCAGTTCCAATTTCTAAATCAATCTCTTCCCCAAGATTGGTTACAACAAGCTGGTGCCTTTGTGCCTGGTGTAATAAGTTCATATCATCCATTGAAGGATTCATCCCTAACCCACCTGTTGGCCCAAACATTCAGCATCACAGTTTTAAACACCACTTTAGCTTCTCTTTTGCTGACTAGCAGCAGCTGTGTCTTACACTTGGTACAACACCCGAGATGATAAACCTGGTGCGCAACAGAGACAACAGATACCACAGTCAGGACAAGACCAAAAATAAATTAAATATAAAATGATATTATCATACACCAGCAGACACGTTTCAGTTAATCAGCACAAGCCAGTGGCATACTAGACTTCATCTACCAAGAAAATGCTCAAAATAGAGATATCAAGCAAAAAAAAAAAACGCATCAGGTTCAATAAAAGGAAATCTAGACTAAGCTATGTAATAACATGGACCATTACAATTGGAATGTCCTTACATAATATAAAATGCTGTGACAATAGAGACCATATCCAATATGTTAAACCCTTTTGATCATCCACCAGAATCGCTAGTCATTCTTGTAAGCTTGGGAACATATTCATCATCGATTACAAATCCAGATAAGGAACTGATGATAAAGTGAAGAATCACCATTTAAAAAACTTGCGTCTTTGCCACAGAAAATCATTTTCAGATACTTTCCACCAAACCAAAAATCTAATATCAAAAAGCTGATTCAAAGGATGCTCAGATGTTCGAAAAAAAAAACCAATATTTGCAGAGCAGATTGTTTCATCCAAGTCCAAAAAGCTAAGCTGATAAAAGAAAAAGATTGAGACTTTACTTTTGCCTGTAGCGGCGGGTCGCCGAGAAAAGAGAGAACCCACAAAGACAATTTGTCACCAAAGAGACAAAAAAAAAGATGCTCTGTTGTAGTTTCCTTTTCGTCGCCGATTGGTGGTGATGGAGGGCTTTAAGATAGATCGACCAAAGTGATTGTTTGCAGACGCAATTCTATTACCAAACATAAATGAATAAATCCCAGATCAAAAGCTACTCTAAGGGTTTTTTTTTAGCTACTAAGGGTTTAATCTAATTTAATTAAATGAAAAAATCTTGACCATTTTTATTACAATTAACTAAATATTATTTTTTATTTTATATTCCCTCTATTTCATTATAAATGTTACTTTACAATTCTGCACACAGACTAAATAAATAATTAATTTTACATATTTTCTATATAAAAACACAGTTAACCATACACCTAACCATATTTTAATCAATAGAAAAACAAATTACATAGTAAAATTAATAAATTTTTCATTGAAAACCGAAAACGACATTTATTTTGTAACGTAAAAAATTCTCTACAACGATATTTAATATGAAACGGAGGGAGCAGTATTGTTCTTGTTCATAAATGAAGCTTACGAAAAAGTCCACAGCAACACTCCATTTGTTTAGTTTAATGGTTTTTTGTAATCATTTATAGAAATTCAATTTGAATTTATTATGCAGTCGATTTTTTATATACACTGTTCATAAAACTTAAAATACACTATAGCATCGTCCACAAATATTTTTAAGTAGGAAATGATGGTAAAATGGAATAAAGTGTAAATAAATTTCTAACTATTTTTTTCACAAAATTTATAATCTCTTATATATTATTTGTGAAATGATTTTGAGATATGTAATCACCACAATTAATTTCATCCAAAAATGATGATCTGTTCACTAATAATGATGACATGGTTTGGAGTTAATCGTGACATACACATTTAGATTCAATGTTAATATATATATTTTTGGTAAGTTTTTAGAATATGGCAAGAACTCATAAATTATCATTAACATAAGAATAAATAATATTATAGTAAAAATTGAACTATAAAAATATGAGTATTTGCACTCCATACACACACTAAACCTCATAATTCACTCCATACCCTATTTCTTCCTTTATCTCTCCTCCTTACACATTATTATTTTCCCCACCAAAAATAGCAAATCCCTAATTTCTCATTTTCTTATGGATTTCTACCCAATTCACTCTAAAAATATTTACAAATTTTGAAATATTTTTCAAGTCTATTTTTAACCAAAAGAAAAAATAAAAATATTTTTCCAAAATTTTAATTTTAGATATATACATATATATTATTAAATATAATGTTAAACGAAAATTGTTTATTTTATCTTAATTTTTACATATAATTAAAGTAAAATTAATAAGTTTATGTCACAAAAATAGTTCTCAAAAACTAAAATGATCGAAATAACATTTTATCTTTTGAAAATTTTAAAACATTTTTATTTTTTTCAAAAATTGAAATCTTAAAACCTAAATCCTAAACCCTAAATCCCACCCTTAACTCTAAACCCTAATGTCTAAATTAATTTATCATTGGGATATAAGTGTATATTTATCTTTTGATAAAATATTAAATGTTATTTTGATCATTTTTATTCTTAAGTGCTATATTTGTGGCAAAAACTTTTTTTAGTGCTATTCTAGTCATTTTCTCAATTAATAATGCAACAAAATAATAAATTTAAAAATTAACTAAATTTATTTTTAAAATTTTTAAAACACCTAGTTAAAACACAAATTAGAAGAAACAAGATAAACCCGGCCGGCAGCGACTCGACCCGACCCGAACGTTAAAAACCTGACCCCTTCGAAAAGAAAAGAGACGATGCCCATATATTTTCGGAAAATCATCGAACGAACTCCGTAGAAAGAACAAAAAAAAGAATAAAGTTGTCTCTCCAAGCAATCAAGCAAAGAAGCCCCTCACTCATTACTCCCAGCAAAGCAAAGATGCTTACAGGTTTCTCTTTAGATTCCTTCCCTAATTTAATCGATGATGTTATCTGTTCTTGTCGGTGGTACTCTAGTTTTGGAATCGGATATTGTGAGAATGAATGTGATTTAAAAGAGTGTTAAAGGTGGAAGCTTTTGACCTAATCTTGTGATGGGTTTTATTTTGACAGTAAGCGTGAAATGGCAAAAGAAGGTGTTTGAAGGTATTGAGATTGATTCCACTTTGCCTCCTTATGTCTTCAAGGCTCAGCTGTATGATTTGACTGGTGTTCCACCTGAGAGGCAAAAGATCATGGTCAAAGGTGGCCTCTTGAAGGTGACTAACTTTTCTAGTTTTTCACTGTTGATCAAGGTCAGATTGTTTATTTCAATGTTGATGACAGCTGTTTATTTTCCTTTCATTTGGGTGTAGGATGATGGTGATTGGTCTGCTATTGGAGTGAAAGATGTAAAGTTTTTTTCTTTTTCTTATTCAATTGCTTCATTTTGTTTTTTTTGTAAAGATTCTTATTCGTCTGTTTTGTTGTTATGTAGGGTCAAAAACTGATGATGATGGGAACTGCTGATGAAATTGTGAAAGCTCCTGAAAAGGCCATTGTTTTTGCTGAGGATCTGCCTGAAGAAGAGCAAGCCACCAATCTGGTATGTTTTTTTTTATTGCTGATTTGTGTGATATGAGGATCGTGTATCCCATCTATGGATCCAAATGATAAAACCATACATTCTCTTAGTTGCCCTCTGCTCTCAACTATCGCCTTAAAGTCTGCTGTTTCTTGGCTCTGTCGTAGCTTCAATCTAGAACAAAAATAGGCAAGGCTAGTAACAGTTCTGCAGGATACTAACAGGCATAAGTTAGCAATGTATTTCGTGGGGTTTACTAACTTTACATTGCTTGGAATCTGGACAATGTACATTCATAGTTTGTATCAACTAACTAACTGAAAATTACAATTGATTTCAGGGTTACAGTGCTGGCCTTGTGAATCTAGGCAACACCTGTTACATGAACTCCACGGTGCAGTGCTTAAAATCTGTCCCAGAGTTGAAATCTGCATTATCCAAGTCAGTTCATCTCTTATCATTCACTGTTGTTAACCAAAGCAAAAGCCACGAAACTTACTATCTTTTATTCAATACTGTATCTCATAGAAATAATTTCATCTTAACAGTTACTCACTTGCTGGACGAAGCAATGATGTGGACCAGACTTCTCACATGCTCACTGTTGCCACACGTGAGCTATTTGGCGATCTTGATAGAAGTGTCAATGCTGTTTCTCCTACGCAGTTCTGGATGGTTAGTTTGCTAGTTATCCATACTTCATCATAAGATTTGGAAGTTTTATAGTTCTTGCCTCATATCAACGTTGGTCTTGATGCAGGTACTACGGAAAAAATTCCCTCAGTTTAGTCAGTTGCAGAATGGAATGCACATGCAGCAGGTTTGTTTCATACTGCAAACTTGGTTGCATTAAGCATGTAACCTTTCTGTTTCTTATCCTTTGCTGTTAATTTGTCTGACAGGATGCTGAAGAATGTTGGACACAATTGTTATACACACTCTCTCAGTCCCTAAAAGCACCAACTTCCAGCGAAGACTCTGACGCTGTGAAAGCGCTCTTCGGTGTCAACCTTCGGAGCAGGTATATCCGTGAAAACTATCACATCTCAGTATCATATATGACTCATATTATTAGTGTAGATCGTTCATATAAGATCATTCATATAATTGGCCTTGGGTCTCTGTAAACACTGCAAAATCTGTAAAAGGTCTTCATTCTCTTGTTTTATAATTAAACTCCTGTTCCATACTCCTGCACATCTACTTGATATCCTTAGGCTAACTGACAAAGTGAAGGGCAATACTTGAAAAGCGCTAGTTACAGTAGTTCATTTACACACTTTATATCTCTCAAAGATTAAATTAGGGGTGCTTGAAAAATACAGACAATGTTGCAATCACGAAGTGCATGTGAAGTGCATGTGCATGTATCATATTACTGTTGAGGGTTTTCTTATTGTACGGATATTTATTGATGTACTTGTTCATGTGAAATTGACAACTGAAAATGTTAATTCCTGAGGTGTTTTTCTTCACCTTGCTTCAATATATTCAGTTGTGTTATAACTGGTTTCTGTTCTGTAGGATTCATTGTCAAGAAAGTGGCGAAGAAAGCTCAGAGACTGAATCTGTATATGCTTTAAAATGTCATATATCACACGAGGTGAACCACTTGCATGAAGGATTGAAACATGTGAGTCAAGTTATATTATTCCAATAAGACTTTTTCTATTTATATTTCTGCATTTTTTTCTCTGAAGTAGTGTATGCAGCCTATTATAGAAAAATTTGGACATTGGAGGCTTTATCTGCTTTAATAAAACCTTGGATATATTGAGTAACCCCATTTTTTTTACTGTAGGGGCTGAAAGGAGAACTTGAAAAAACATCTCCTGCTTTAGGCCGTACTGCGATTTACCTCAAGGAATCCCTTATAGATTCGTTGCCAAGGTGATCAGCCTCTTCTTTTTGTTTGTGACTTTTTATTGTACATCTCAGTACTATGCCATGCTTTATATCCCGCATGCCCCAGAGGACCTAACTTGGTGAAACTTTCTAATTAAGTGAAACTTATAATCTCTGACACTGAGGTTTTCTTTCTCTTTTTCCCGATTTTGAAGGTACTTGACCGTTCAGTTTGTGCGTTTCTTCTGGAAAAGAGAGACTAATCAGAAGGCAAAGATTCTCAGGGTACGTTTGCTTTCTGAGCATTCCGAGACTTTCATTAGACTATATCCTTTAAAATCTTAACCAAAAACTCCGGATGATCAAAACACCAACCTGTTTGAACTTTTGCAGAAAGTGGATTATCCGCTGGAGTTGGATATTTTTGACCTTTGTTCGGAGGATCTCCGAAAGAAACTGGAAGCTCCTCGCCAGGTTTGCACTGTTTATTCTGGTGAACTCAAATAATGTGAGCTGTGTAACCAAATAAACTGACGGTTGTCCTTTTCAGAAACTGAGAGATGAGGAAGGTAAAAAGCTTGGTCTGCAAACTAAGAGCAGCTCAAAGGACAGCGATGTGAAAATGACGGATGCAGAGGTACACCATATCTCTAATTTTCTGTGCATATAAATCATATGTGAAGTACACAATCTTTCAAGAAGATTTTTGCTATGTATTTGTCTCAGGCGCCATCAAATGAGAGTGGAGAATCATCATCCACCGCTGCCCATCAGGAAGGTACTGTAGCCAAGACTCGTTTTAAACATCTTTCTGGCCTGGATGATTGTTTGTTTGTCCATGTTCTGGTGTAATGGGACTCTTTTTTTTTTTTGTAACATAGGTGCGTCTTCTTCTGAGAAGGGAACTCACATGACTGGAATCTATGACTTGGTCTCTGTGTTGACCCACAAGGGCAGGAGTGCGGACTCTGGTCATTACGTTGCATGGGTCAAGCAAGAGAGTGGTTAGTTTCCCCCATTCTCTAGAAAAACTTTACCTCTCTTTCATTTTGACAAGAACATTTGACATGATGACAACAGGCAAATGGATTCAATATGATGATAGCTACCCGAGCATACAACGCGAGGAAGACATCACAAAGCTATCCGGAGGAGGTAAACCCCATTTGTGGTTCACTTGTTTTTGTTTTTGATACGTTTCTTATTTCATTTTGTGTTTGGGTGTATAATAATTGATTACACAGGTGATTGGCATATGGCGTACATCATTATGTACAAAGCCCGCTTCGTCTCCATGTAATCTCCCCTCTCTTGGTTGATTTTTTACTTCTTGAAACATTCAAGTATGGTTCAAACCTCAGATATTTCATGTTTTATTTTTACAATGTTCAGAGATTTGTTTTTGTAGCATTACTGTTAAAGAACGACATATGTTTCATCTTATGACAACTCTTCTTACCCTCATTATGCATATTTTAGCCTTCAAAAAAGAACCCAACATATATATATACAATGTGGTCCATAAAATCAAAACTAACCATAAGGAATATAAATAGAATGGCCCCATCAGTGAGATGATAAGATTTTTACAAATATAGTTAAGCTCAATTTGGCAAAAGATCAGACTATACGTCTATAATGCTTGATAACAACAACTCATCGGTCATCATTTCAAATCATTTTTACCCAAATTTCACAGCCTATCTATGAAGTGGACTTCTCGTTTCTTATGAGTTAAGTCTTATCCATCCAATCTGGACCACAACTTCATTTCTTTTCTGAATTTTCTTTCAATATTTACTTGCTCACAAGAATGAATGAATGATTACGAGGAATCAGTACTATATGGATAGATTTTTGATCGTCATATATGTAAACGCGTGGACCTTTTTCAACAAACAATATGTCAACTCTCTCAGCTTTAATGATGATAGTTCCAACATTAGATTTTCTTTAGTCTAGAGTCTAGACCTTCTTTTATTTAGAGTGTGATTGGATAGTCTTTTTAGAGTAAATATTTACTCTAAAAACTAGTTTACTCCACATTCCACTAAAAAATTTCAATCAAGTGAGATATATTTTTTATGTTTTGCTCTATTCACTCTTGAAATGGAAAAAAACATGCACTTAACTTTACTCCCTATTTAGCTAGAGTAATAGCTTTTGAGTTATTTTTTTTTCTTTTATTCTTGTTTCCACCATTTTATGTTCCACCAATTTCCACATTTTTCTTTTACTCCAGTTTACTCTATTGTAACCAGTGGCGGAGGTAGAAACAAAATCTACCGGGGTCAAAGTTACATATACATAAATTTATTGGAAGATTTACAACTATCAAGTGGGTCAAACCATTAAAAATGAACCACTTAATCAATGTTTATTGCAGTTATATGCTTATATTAGATAAAAATTGAGAATTGACAGGGGTCAGTTGACCCACATGCCTCTTCACTGGCTCCGCCACTGATTGTAATTAGGACTGGAACTTAATATCCACTATCCGCTATCTGATCTGAAATTTATTTTGAATAAACAGATATCCGGATCTATATAGTGATTTTACGGATTCGGCAAATCCGGATCCGAATCCGGATCCGAATCCGGATAGTGAAATTTTAAGTCCGGATAGTGAAATCCGGATTTGGGCCCACTAATATTTAGAATATAAATATATTTATATAGATATATTATATATTTTTATCAAACATAACTAAAACTTAATTTTATTATTAAATTATATTATTTTATTATTAAATTATATTATGTAATTTTAAAATTTTTAAAATAATAATTTTTAATAGAATAAATAAATATTTAATATTTATATTTAATTTTTAATTTAGTTTTTTTTTTTAATTTTTTCGATAAAATGGATCCAGATATCTGCGGGTATTTATGTTTTAATTCGGATATTTGGAAGGCTCAAATCCAAATCCAGATATCAATTTTACGAATCCACCAATCCGGATATCTAATCCGTCTCATCTCTAATTGCAACCAATCATAGCCTCAGTCAAACCTATCAAAATGACAAAATAAATCACCATAGAACATTGCATAAAAAACTAAAATATTTTTTAAAAACACATTTAAATTATCAAAATATGATTGAAGAAGATTAATTATATATCTCATACTGAAATTAAAGTTGTCTTTTGGCAAATACATTAATTCCGGAAATTAAATGATTAAACAATGACACAATTAATCAGATAAATGTACAACACGGAATCTTTAAATAATGTCGATTTTTAGTCGCATTCTATAATTTCATTAAATATCATATAATATAACACTCACAAGAGCCAAGAAAGAATAAGAGAATATATATATCACTTAAATGGACCGACATCATTTGTCGTGTATAATTTAATTGACTATGCCACGACTAAAATATACGAATTAACCAAATCACCCTTCAATTCTTTCCCACTCTATTCATGGCTAGATCATCATCAGTTAACGCGGCGTCATCACTCCTCCGAAAACCCAAACCCAACTCCATATCCGGATACCAACCCGACCCGGTTTCGTAGTTAACCCCTCTAATCTGCTGCATATTCGAAGCCAACAGCGAACTGAAATTCCCACCAGTCGGGTCTCCAACCGGTAACCCGTATAGCATCCGGGTCGGATCCATTTCTTGACCCGAATTCCCCGTGATTCTCCTCTCTTGGTCGGAAACAGCGGCGGTTTTACTCTTTGGACTGCTGCTAAACGGAGAGGAAGAAGACGATGATCCGACTGAAGAGCGTTTAGTGCTGTTCTTGCGAGAACCGCCGCCGACGGGGATGTTACGGAGGGAACCGCCTTTGGTCCAGTAACGACGACAGCTTTTGCAAAAGTGACGTGGCTGTGAGAGGTTGTAGTTATTGTAGTAACAGAACTTGGTGTTGGGTGAGTCACAGCGAGGGCAGTTTAGCTGCTCTTGCTCCGGTAACTCCGGTTGCTGCTGCTTCACCGCCGTCATGATCATTGATTGGTGGTGGTAATACGCTGCTGCTGACGTCAGATCCTCCTGCATATTTTGTTTGTTTGGTTATTGAAAGGAAAAAATATATATGAATGGGTAGTGAGAGAGAGAGATGTGGAGTGGAGATATTTGGCAAGTATATTTATAGTGTTACAGAGAGAGAGAGGAGAAAATGATGCTTTTATATTACTACTCCCTCTGATTCATTATAAGTGTCACTCTACAGCTGTGTACACGGATTAAGGAAACAATTAATTTTACATATTTCCTATATAAAAACATAGTTACCTATACACCTAACCATATTATAACCAATAGAAAAATTAGTTATATAATAAAATTAATAAATTTTGCACTGAAAACCGAAAACGACACTTATTTTGTAACGCAAAAAAATTTCTACAACGACACTTAATATGAAACGGAGGGAGTATTACTACTACTACAAATTCAACACTTCCTAGATTTTATTACATCACTACGTTGATCTTAATGTTTTGTTGTCTTTATTTTGTCTCTTTTTCTGTAAGTTTGCGATTATGTTTTGTATTTTCAGTACCGGTCCTGATATTGGAAAGACCAGAAGCAATTTTCAAAAAATTAGCCATTTTTATAAGAACGTTTATATACTATAATAATAATTTTCTTATATAAAAGGCTGAATTTTTAAGTATTTTTTGAGGGCCGGAAGCGGTTGCTTGTAATAATTCCCCTCAGGGCCGGTACTGTGTATTTTATACTTGCAAAATCTCGGTTTTGTTAATTTGACATATATATATATATATATATATATATATATTTATATATATTATTATTAAATCAGGAAACAAAATTTCACCTTTCAAATTGCAGTAAGGTAAGTTCGAACATTTTCATAGTGATGCATGAATTTATATATAGAATGATAAAATGTATAGCGATACACGTTTAGCTGTGTTTAACGGTTGTGGTTAGTTATGGGGTAAACATTACTATTTTATATTTTTGACAAAATATTGGTTAGGAAGTAGGAACTAGTGAAGTTTCTTCGAATTTTCCTCCAATCCATCATACAAAAATTCACGCGTTGGACTTTGCTATTGACTTGTTGACTTGACTAATATGAATATCGTATGGTTTTGATGTCATTTTGTAGAAAATATCATATATTTTTTTGAACTTATTTTATAGAAAAGTTATTTTCTCTTAAAAATTCTATCAGACGTTTTATGTTTTTGCTTGCCATATTTATTAATTAGCAGTAAAAAAATATAGCACAAACAAACTCAGACGATGTGATGATGTGCTTGTCCCACTGTGGCTCCAAAATTAACAGACAAGGAAAAAACACAAATAGCGTGCTTAGCAAGCAAAGTTCTCTTTTACTTTAGACTCGAAACCCTAATCATGGAACATCGAATCACCATTCACCACCGTCACTTTCTAATCGTGATACACTGAACCAGAGCCGCACAAGTGTTTGAATCCAGCTTTGACCATTTGTTGTCCTCACGTTCAGCTGCCGCTATCGCTGACCGTTTACTGACGTCACTTCTACGGCAACGATTTCTGCTGGAACGAAAAAATGTAAATGAGAATCTGATTCGTGGTGGACTTTAGTGTACGAATCAGGATCCATTTGATCTTTGTCCTCGTTCTGAATGTTTCTGTTCCACACATGTTTATTTTAAAATAATTAGTATTAGTTTGGGAGGATAACTAAATTATGCATTCATATTTTTTCAAAAGTATCTAAAGTTAGTTAAAAATATAAACGTTAGACAAAAATACTTTTCTCCAAATTTACCTTTACCTTCACAATCATCTTGGCACTTTCACACTAATTAGGAAAATAGGTTAATATGAAAACCTTTTTCAGAAAAAAAGGTTAAAACTTCTTTGATAATCAAATACAGTTTTAAAATCTATGTATAATAAGAAAAAAGTTAAAAAGACTCGCAAAAGTAATATAATTAACAATCGGATTACATTTTTCAAAACTAAATCCGAAATTGAACAGTGCTGCTACTTAACTTTGTTTGTTGTAATTGTAAAGGTCAACTAAATTAAAATAAAATAAAACAACATTATTAAAATGAAATGTATCATTTTAATAAGTCAACAAAAGAAAAGAAAAAAAATTAACAGAAGAATCAATAAAACAATGATTACACAAGACCAGAAAAGATTGTAAAGATATCTAATCTACATCCAATACAAAAGTCATATAAGATTAGCTTTACTAAAATCACGATTTCTACCAATCGGATTTTCTTTCTTGGCAAAGTAGTTTCCAAGGGGCACAAGTAAATTCTACATTTTAAAATAGAGAAAATGAATGTTTCTGTCCCTGCTTGCCTTTTCCTAGCCATTTCCCAACAAGTCCAACATGATGATTACAGAGCTTAGGTGATCCATGATGATGATCACACTATTAATTCACCTTTTTATCTACTTTTTTTTTCTTCTTCTGAGTGTGGTGTTAAGCATAGTACATGTACAAGCTATTTCCAGCGGCGCATGCAATTGAGTTCTTGTTTGGATGCCAAGCAAGATGTAGCAACTTTGTTGTGTAATCAAGTGCGTTGCCATTACCATCGACTCCAGGACTCTCTGATCCTACTTTCACCGTTTCCTTATTATACTAATTCAATTCCAATTACCTAAAAAGAGAAAGGAGAGTGAGAGAGAAAGAGAGAGACTGACCTCTACTTACATCACGGCTTAGTGCTTTGAATGGATTCGAGGGAACTGGGCCATGTCTCCTATGATAAAACCACAACAACAGCAAAAAATCCATTACTTTAGGATTGAGAAGAAAGAGAGGACTGAGCACACCAACTCTTCATAGCTTTTACCTCATTGGATTTCTGCTTGCTTCTAAGGTTGCAGCCTCAGTACTTCCCGGAGAAACACCAAACACACGGAACATATTGCTGGACAGAGAGGGAATGATTATTCAGGGAATCTTAGTCTAATAACAGAAAATATGCTCTGCTTTTCAGGGCATACCTTTAAGAACCTGTAGCTGCTCGCAATCCATCGCCACTTATACAGCACTCGAACTTGTCAAAGATGGAATCGTTTTCATATAAATCACAGAGCTGAAGATGCCAAAGGAAAAGAAGAGTACCAATCAGATAAGCACCAACTCATTAAATGAAGCTCTCTCAAAATATAGGGAAATTTCCTTCGGTTTCAGATGTTCATGAACCTGGAAAGTTGATACCGGGCTTGAATCCATGTTGATGTCCCATAACTGAAACATAAACCTTGAGTTAAGAAGAATCTGAAACCAGACACTGATAGCTTTAGGGGTATATCATATCTAATGACAATGGAATAAGTGAAGGCATGGACCTTAAGTGTCATGTAGTCACGGCTAAGTAGATATCTTCCTTCTTTTGCAAATTTGATATCTGACACTGAAGAAATTATCTCAGTGAAAACGATTTAGAACCAGCTGCCTCTGGTTCCTCAAACCTACAGAAAAAAAAAAGCAATGTTTTTAGCCTTTGCTGCTGGACAACTCTTCAGAATTGCCAGTCTTAAAACTTACAATTTGGAATGTGAATCACATAAAGCTAACTGGCGCAAATCAATCAGGCGGATCGAGCCTTTCGAACTGCTATAAACTAACATATTGCAATGTGTAGGATGAAACTCTGCTGATGTGATAACTTCTGCAAGAACGAATACACACGATGTAGCATCCAGTTGCTTGATATATCTCAGTATAGACCACCATAACATGCAAGGAACATAATGGACAGAAAGAACAGCAAATTATGGCTTACCAGATAGATCTTCCATTTTTTCAGGCTTGACATCAACAATATTGAAACTTTGATTGCTAATCTCCAGATTCCAAAGATTTATTCGCAAATCATCAGCAGAAATGAATGTTTCTCCGTCACTGATTTTAATAGAAACAAGATTAGGAGCAAAACATTTACAATGGAAGTATGTATCTCAAGCTAATATAAGAACGAGGTGTCAGTTTGAGTGATCCAAAACACAGTGTCATTATAGAAATTCTCACAGGAAAAAAAGAAATTGGATAGTAAGAAGGAGGCAAGTATAACCTACCTGTTATCTGAGATCGAATTGATATGATAATCATGAGCATGAGAATATACTCTTCGACATCTAGCCACAGGGCTTGACTCATGGCTAGTTACCTGTATATGTCCAAGTGAACTATTATTTTACAAATGAACAATATCAAGTAATTTTGCATGACTTAGGAATCAGTTAGGTCATGGAAGGGGAAAAATGCATGGGATATAAGTACTAAAAAGCACACATAGAAAACCAACAAACTGTAAATTCGAGCAATTTGAATCATTTTTCTAGGTGCATGTCTGCTCAATATTATATCCTATATCGGCGTTAATGCAATCCCTGCAAGTGAGTTTTAGATGCAGTTCGTGCTAATACTAGAATGTTCAAATATTCAAAACAAATTGTTGAGAAGACAACTACCACTGGCAACCGAAGCGATGAGATGCCTCCTTGTGGAAATGAAATGCTCGCTTCAGGTGCTTCTTCGTTCACATTCCAGCATTTCTTGAAGGCTCTGAATTTATTTCACAAACTTTTTTGATCTTCTTATCTTGAACCTGTTAAACGCACATAAGAAACAAGAGGAAAGAATCAACTCAACATACTCATCTCAACAGGTTACTGACAGAAAACAAGCCAAAGAGAAACATTAAGGATTTATAACCATACATATACAGTAAGCAAACATTTTAAATTCCAGAGCGTTCATGTTTCAACATTCTCAAGATTGGCTATTAAAGTATCAGCTTTCCCGTTGCATAATTATGTCATTCGGAGGCCAACAAATAAACAGAAGAATGTTCTCACCTTCCAATACTTGATGGTTTTATCGTTTGTTGACAAGAGAAAAAGAGCGTCATTTGCTGTATGACACCATCTAATTTTGTTTATCTTCTCCTCTATCGCCAAACTCTTGAGATAATCAAACTGGGAGACAAGGATCAAATACGAAAGGAAGAAGAAAGGTATAGTCACATATTAGGAGTAGGGAAAGAGAGTAAGAAAAATCATAATACCTCAGGGTCATGACTCTGAAACTCTGTTTTATAACGAAACGGAATCTGTTTTATAACGAAACTCCTCGTGCCTCCGTGGATAATCTGTTTCCTC